GCAAGGGGCTGCAGGTGCCCGGATCCCGCTCGCTGCACGCGCGGCAAGGAGGGCGAGGGCGGCACTGGCCTTCCTCCCGCCGGCGTGGGCGCTCGCTGCCCCCCGGCACCKCGGGCATGCTGACCCCACAGCAGTCACCACCTGCGGCCGCCCAGCCCAGCTCCCGCGGGAAAACCCATGGAGGGACAGCGGGACAGGGGCTGGGAAAGGGCAGCCGCTTCCTGGTGGTGTCGGCAAGCGGGTCACATCCCAGCAAGGGCAGTACCAGGAATGCCTGCACAGGGACGCTGGGGCTGGAGCTTTGCTGCTTTTCGCTCTTATCTCAGATGTTTTGGYCCCAGGAGCTTTCCCAGCAGCGCTGGTGCCTGGGACTCAATGTTGGCGTCCAGGAGGACTTTTCCTTGCTCCCAACCTGCACATGCAGCTTGGATGCCTCCCCAGTGCCCAGAAAACCCGAGCCCAGCCTCCCCCGCTGGCAGAGCAGCTCCCTGCCTGGCCTGGGGGTTATGACRCTATTTGCACCATCCCAGTGAAATGCAGGCTGCAAAGGGGACCTTAGCGCCGGCCCTGCCTGGCTCTGGCTGGTGTTAGATCCGTTCTGCCGGCGCCTGCGCGAGCTCGGAAAGGCCGAGTGCGAGCTCGACCGGAAAGCAAACTGACCCTGGGTGCCATTTCCAGGACCCTGTGCACGCAGATCCAGTGCATGCCGCCCCTGCGCACTGGGATCGTATGCCTGCAGACCCAGCGTATGCAGACCCTGTGCACTGGCACCCTGTGCGTGCAATCCCTACGCACCCAGACCCTACGCGCCCCGGTGCCGCCGTGGGACCGAGGTGCAGAGAGGCCCAGGTGGCCGCGGGCTGCAGCGGGCGCCGCGGGGCGACGGCGCGAGGCGGCGGCGCACAGGGCCGCGTGTGTGCGCGCAGCCCCGCTGCCAGCTGCCCGGCGCGGCGCACACAGGCCTCCTTGTCGTCCCCCCGGCCTCAGCGCCGCCGTCCTCCCGTTGCCGGGGCCGTTCCTGGCACTGCCGTCCCGCACAGGCCGTGCAGCTGGCCCAGCTGGCTCGCCCGGGGCCATGGGGATGCCGTGGGACGGAACCGGCCGCCGTGCGCGGGGACCCACCAGCCCCGGTGCCCGGTGGCGGCCGATGGTTGATTTTGATCCAGCTCTTTTCCCCGTTTCCTAGCCCGCTTAGCAAGCCCTGGGCGGCAGTGAGGGATGCGAGCAGGTTTGGAGGCTTTTTGCAACTTCCTCCCGGCGCGCCTGGCGCCGCGTTCAAGGCAGGGCGCTAAAAATGAGGAAACGGGGGGCCGGGGCGGCGGGGAGGGCCTGCCGGGCACCGCCTGCGCCCCACGCGGAGCCGCCAGCCGCTGCCCCCCGCGCCAAGGTAATGCCGGCGCTTCCCGCCACGGGAAGGACGAGGGAGCTGGGAGCTCGGGACGGGGAGGAGGTGGCTTTGCCAGCAGCAGCACTCCCGGCGCCGCYGTCCTGGGCCGCCACACTTCCATTGCAGCTCATGGTGCCCGGCGGAGCAGGTCAAACCAGGGCTCTGTGCAAGCCCCATGGCAGGGAGCAAACCAGGGTCCCAGGGGACCCCCTGACCGGAGGGATCCGTGGGCCAGGGCGCTTCCCTCCTACCGTCTCCTTTCCCGCAGCCGCCCGCCCGGCTCCCCTGCCCCGCAGCCCGGCACAAAGCGCAGCAGGAAGGGAGCCCGGCGGCCGCCTGCACCGCGAAGGGGACCAATTTTCACTTCTTTTTTGGCCATACCCTTTCTCAGCCCTCGCGTTTATTCATGGGTTGGGGGGCAGCATGGTCCCTCCGGTTCCTCTGGCTGATGGGGGCTCCCACCCAACACACGGGATCAGTTTTCCCCTCTATGAGCGGCCAGGATGGGCTACCAAAGCCGAGGAAGGAGGAGCCCTGTGTGGGGAGCTCCCCCGGCCCACGGGGCCAGCCCTGGGCACCTCCGCTCTTCAGTGGGATGAGTTTGGGGGTTCTCAGCGCCATCCCCAGCACCAAGGAGCCCTGGGGCAGAGCTCGCCTCTTCCTCGGGCGCTCTGCCGCCGGTGCAAGGGGAGGAGAGAGATTCCTGGCGCCGGGTGCCCTTGGCTCCGGAGCGGTGCGTGCGCCGGCAGCAGCGGCCGGAGCGGGGCCGGGCAGCCCCGGTGCGGGAGCGGAGCCCTCCCACGTGAGTGCCGGGCCGCGCTCGCTTTGGGCTCCTCCGGGGGGTTTGCGGAGCCCCTCGCCGAGGCCGCGTTGCACGGGTGCCAGCCYGGCCGCGCGGCGCCGGCGYGGGGCCAGCGCAGCCCCCTGCACGGGCAGCGCTCTGCGCGGAGGGTAACGCGATCCCGCCTTGCACGGGCTATATCTGGCAGCAGCTTACGGCACATCTTATTTTTAACCCCTATTTTTAGCTTCCTTCGCTCTGCTTTCAGCGCACATCTGGGCCCAGAGGCCGGGGCACCCTGTGGGTGCGAGCGTGGGCACCGGGGCTGGCACTTGGCTGCCGTTCTGCAGAAATAACTCAAGAGCACAGCTTTTCTCTTGCCTTTTATTCKCCTTTTTTTTTCCCCCTTTTTTTCCCCCTTTTTCCCCTCCCCAGCTCTCTGAAGCGATAACTTGCTCCCRAGCAAGCCCAGGAGCAGCGAAACGCCCGGGTTGCTGAGCAGCACCCGGGTGTCACTTGGGAGAATGCTGGTGGTTGCCCAGCAGCTGCCTGGGGGCTGCAGCGGCCGCCGGGCCCCCCGCTCGGCTTAGGGACGGTGGCCGGAGCCCGGCAGTGTCTGTGGTGTTTGCAGCAAGGGACAGACCGGTGGCCGGAGCTGTGCAAAGTCCCGGGAAAGGATTCGGGAGGAGCTGGCTATGCTCGGCATGAAATAAAGTCCCCGGAGAAAAACGGAGCAAGGGCCAGAAATAAACGGCAGCGCTGGGCGCCTGGGCATGGGTTTTGCAGGGCGCTGGATTCCTTGGCATCGCTCCGGCTCTTCTTCCATCTCGTTGTGCTCTTGCTCCATCTGCGTTATCATAAAGGGAAATCAGTTTTAAAAAAAGATGTATGTGGTTCGGAGCTGCATCCGAATCGCTTGCAGATTGCACGAGGGATTGGGCTCTTTCTCCCGCAGGCGGCGGCAGTTGATGCCTTCGGCTGGGCTTGGGCACCGTGTGGAGCCGGTGCCACCCCGGGAGGTTTCCAGATCCCTGTCCCTGGAATGGGGAGCTGCTGCCCGGGCACAGACCCTCTCCAGCAGTGCCGAGGTCCCACGTGGGCATGGAGCGGGTCAGGAGCCCATGGGGACAGAGATGGCACCTGGTGGGATGTGTAGTGACATGTCTCTTGGGAYATGGGGGGACTTGGGGGGACATGTTCCTTCTTGGTGCATGTTTGCCACCTCGGAGGGATGTGTCCCGTGTTGGTGGCCCCAACAGGGTCCCCATCGTTGTCACCGCCGCCTCCCCCTACCCGCAGTGCTCCCTGCCGCTGCGGCTGAGTCAGAGCGAAAGCAGAAGCTGCTCGGCGTTGCAGCGGGGAAGCCAAGCAGAACCAGCTGGGTTATTTTAAACCTGACCTAATTTCCCCCTCCCCTTATCTTGCTCGGCCTTGTCCCCGTCCCCGCTTCCCGTCCCCACCCTGGCAATTCCACAGYGCGGGCGATTTGCTCCGGGATTTCCTATGGGAAGCGGCAGCCGGGAGCCCCAGCAAGGCGGGGACGGAGGGGACGCGGTGGCAGCTCCGCTGCGCGGGGCGGCTGCGGCGCGATGCTCTTCGCACGCTGCCCTCCCGCTGCCTCCGCGCTCTCGGGGGCCCTGCAACCCCCCAGCACAGAGAGGGGCCCCGCTTCCCGCCGGGTTTCCCCGGGGCCGGAGGCGCCGGCTTCGAGCCCCTTTGCTTCCCATCGCCTGCCCCGTGTGGCCAGGAACAGCCGGAGTTCCGGGCTGTGGGCAGCGCCTGGCTCAGCAACAGGGAGGATCATCCTAAGGGTCYCCATGCACAGCGGGAAATCCCGTTCCGGCCATTGCATTTCCCGTTTTGCTGGAGCATCCCGGGGTTTTGTGCTCCCCTGGTGCAGGCTCCCGACCCCGCATCCGTCCCCAGCCGGATGGCAGCGATAAGCTCATCCCATGTCTCACCTGTTCCAGGGAGCTTTGCCCTTATCCCGTGCTGGATGTTTGGGATTGCGATACCTGCCCTGTGCACAGCTGGGATTTATCCCCTTTGCCTCCCTTTGGTGTTTGCACCACTGGRTCCAGCTGCCTGCCCAGGCGCTCCTGCTCCTTGCGGCATCTTCCCCAGCGGCTCCAGCATCTCTCTCCTCCTGGGCTGTGGGTGACACCGGTCCTGGGCCCTCTGCTCCCATCCCCCTTTCCATGGGCTACCACGTCTAATTAATTACCTCCCTCTTGCCGCTCAATAGCTGCCTCTTGATCCATGTAATCGTATTTCTGTCCAAGCTGGCTTGATTGAATTTCCCCCGTAGGGTATTTTGTGGCGCGGGCTGTGCGCCGCCGTGCTGTAGCCCCGTGCCCCTCCTGCAGCCCGCAGAGCTTGGCAGCACGGCAGCATTTGCCAGGCGGGATTCCTCGGTGATCCTTGATGCCGGAGCCTCCTGCGCCCTGTCTGGGGGGACACATTGCTCCCTAGGGCTTTGTGCTCATTAGATCCCAGGGGATGCAGCCCCCACTGCGGTCCCTGCTTCTGGATGCCCTGGGAATGCCCCAGACCCCTAAGCATGGGAGCAGGGGTCCCATATGTGCCAGCCTCTCTGTGCTGACGTGCACAGCGTCACCTTGCCAGTCCTGCCGTGCCTGGGCAGCCGAGGGGTTAAAGCTGCCTCTCCTTGCAGGCACCTTCCTCCTCCTCCTGCTCCTTCCTCCCTTCCTCTCTGGGTGCTCCTGGCTTTTCCCCGCTTTGCTTCCTGCCGTGTTTGCAGAGGGCAGCGCGCGCTCCCCGTGCCTCGTCGCTGACGCCGCGCGCTGCCGTCCCGCAGGGTGCCCCGCGCGTCCCCCGCTCCCRCGCACCATGGCGTCCCGCATCGGGCTCCGCATGGAGCTCATGAAGCAGCAGGCGCAGCAGGAGGCCGAGCGGGAGCGTGTGCAGCAGCAGATGATGGTGAACTACATGCAGCAGCAGCGCATGCCCGCGGCGCCCAGCCCAGCCATCAACACCCCTGTCCACTACCAGTCCCCACCGCCCGTGCCCGGAGAGGTGCTCAAGGTAGGGTCCGGGGGGGTCCGGAGGGTCCGGGTGCTGAGGAGGTGGTAGCAGGGTCCCTGACGGCTTCTGTCTGGGATGGGGAATGCAGGTTCAGTCCTACCTGGAGAACCCCACCAGTTACCACCTGCAGAAGTCGCGGGACAAGAAGGTCCAGGCCTATCTCTCGGAGACCTACGGGAACAAGTTCGCCGCTCACGTCAGCCCCGCCAGCCACTCCCCGAAGCCGCCGCCGGCCGCCTCGCCRGGCGTCCGTCCGGGCCATGTGCTGTCCTCGTCGGCAGGCAACAGCGCGCCCAACAGCCCCATGGCCATGCTCAACATCGGCTCCAACCCGGAGCAGGAGGTAAGGAGGGCGGCACTGCCAGCGCCGCCGGCCCGGTGCCCGGCTGGGCGCCCGCCTGAGCCCGGCTTTTCCCTCGCAGCTGGGTGAGGTCATCGATGACATCATGCGTCTGGATGACGTCCTGGGCTACATGAACCCCGAGGTGCACATGGCCACCACGGTGAGTCTCGGCACTGGGAAGGCACCCGTTGCCGATGTGTGTGCAAAGCTGCTTGGATGCCCTCCACCTCCCGAGCCATCCGGGAGGCCGGGGACCATTACCGGCAGAAGCCTAAGCCAGGGATGGACAGGGAAGAGTCGCACGGATGCGGGGCTGGGAAGATGGAGAAGTTTCCCTTTCCGCCTGCAAACTGCAAGAGCCAGTTCTTCAGCTTGTTGTGCTTTTTTAATGAGAGTTTGGAGTCCTTGCACAGAGCTGGAGGGATGGGAGAGGGGATAACGCTGCAGCTGTGGCGTGGCGGATTTTGGTCTCGGCAGCAGCAGCCTCTCCCAAAGCTCTGGGCCGGGCCGGACCCGTCCAAGTCAGCGCTGACTGTGGGAGCTGGTGCCGTGCAGTGGGATCCATCCTGCCAGGCCCTCCTTGGATGTGATTCATGTGCCCTATTTTAGATGCCAGTCGTGGGAGGGGATCCCTTTGAAGTCCTGTTTTCTTTGCTACCCTGATTATAGCTATTTTAAGGCCTGGCAAGACAAATTATACCTGTGTGCTCTCCTCACTCGCGTCCCGCAGGCCGAGGAGCTGGGGCCGAGCCCGGACCCGGCAGCAGCACCCGGCTCCTTCTCCCTATGGAGCTGACCCTCGTGTCCCTTTGCTTTGCAGCTGCCCGTGTCCAGCAGCCACATGAACGTATACAGCGGGGACCCGCAGGTGACTGCCTCCCTCGTGGGTGTCACCAGCAGCTCCTGCCCYGCCGAGCTCACGCAGAAGAGGGAGCTGACAGGTAGGTCCTCGTCCCCAGCGGGACCCCAGGGAGCTCCCAGCCTGGGGTGCTCTCCGTTGAGGTTGGGGGTCTCCGTTGCAGATGCTGAGAGCCGGGCCCTGGCCAAGGAGCGCCAGAAGAAAGACAATCACAACCTGAGTGAGTCCTGCTGCCTGCGCACCCCGTCCCACTTCCTCAGAGCCAGGGCTGCTTCCCAGGCTGGATCGCTCCGGGAATTCCACCCACAGCCCCCAGAGTGGCTCCCAGGCTGGAAAACATCTCTGCCAAGGGAGACATCCTGATATTCTTCCCATTAGCAGTGGGAGGAAGGTTGGAAGACCCTGTTGGGTTGGTGGATTGGGCTTCCTGGTCCAGAGTTTGCAGCTGGATGCAGCTGAGACCTGGAGAGCTCGATGCATGCTCCTCCCTGTTTTCTGCGGGGTGTCCTCAGATGTGACAAGCCGTATCTCCTGCATTTACACTCTGCCAGACCAGTGACCCTCGCAGGTCTTCTCTTGAAGTGCCCTGAGCCTGGTGGGGCTGGCGATGGGGCACAGCAGTGTCCCATGGCCTTGGGGGCTGGTGCAAAGGGAGCAGCAGTGGGGACGCAGGGTGACCCAGTGTCTGCAGCCCCCWTGCCCTCACTGCCTCCCCTCTCTTCTCGCCCTAGTCGAGAGGCGGCGGAGGTTTAACATCAACGACCGCATCAAGGAGCTGGGCATGCTGATCCCCAAGGCCAACGACCTGTACGTACCGCGGGGAGCCGGGAGAGCTGCAGGCTCTGGGGGTGCTAAACCTGCTCCCAGGGGGTGTTTGCTGAGGGGCTTTTTGGTGGAGCGGGCGCGAGGGTGCTCGGGAGAGGGAGACACCGATGCCTCCTGCACCCTGTGCCACAGGGACGTGCGCTGGAACAAAGGGACAATCCTGAAGGCCTCCGTGGACTACATCAAGAGGATGCAGAAGGACTTGCAGCGGTCGCGAGACCTGGAGAACCACTCCCGGCGCCTGGAAATGACGAACAAGCAGCTCCTGCTCCGCATCCAGGTGAGTTCCCCTGCGCTCTGCAGTCCTGCCCTGCCGGCCAAGGAGCTGCAGGCTCCTCGGGCTTCACAGGCATCTCATGGAGAGCATGGACAAGCTCACATCTCTCCAAAACCATCTCCGTATTGACCACAGCCTCACTGGGAAGACTGCTTCATGTCTACCACCCCTTAGCATCACCCTTGTGCCCTTGTGTCCACGGGTGGTGACACGCTGGCCGCGCTAAATCCTCGTGTGCTCTCTTGGCAGGAGCTGGAGATGCAGGCCCGGGTCCATGGGCTGCCCACGTCCTCGCCCTCGGGCGTCAACGTGGCCGAGCTGGCTCAGCAGGTGGTGAAGCAAGAAGCCAGCGGGGACGAGGGGACGATGGAGCCGCCGCTCCTGCCCCTGGACGCCGAGGCGCAGCCCCAGCCCACGCTGCCACCACCAGCCCAGTCTCCCTACCACCAGCTGGACTTTACCCACAGCCTGAGCTTCGACGACGGCCCCAGCGGCTTCCCGGACAGCCTGGAGCCCGGCCACAACCTCTCCTTCCCTTCCCTATCCAAGAAGGATCTGGACTTGATGCTGATGCAGGACACCATGCTACCCCTGGCTTCCGACCCYTTGTTCTCCGCCATGTCCCCGGAGGCCTCCAAGGCCAGCAGCCGCCGGAGCAGCTTTAGCATGGAGGACACAGACATGCTGTGACCAGGAGCCGCGCGGGCGCCGGGGGCGAGGACCCGAGATCAGTTAGTGGAGTTCCGGGGCGCTCTTCCCGCCCTGCCCGGGTGAGGAGCACTCCTGCCGAGCACTTTGCCAGGTCGGAGTGCGTCTTCTCTATGCAATGGGGATCTCGGTTCCACGCTTGCCGGGTACCGGAATGCCTTTTGCAAGCTTCTCGCCAGCAGCTCCAGCAGCATTGGACTGACTGCGGATTTCACAGCCTGGGAGCATGACCTCGGCTGCTTTGCCTTTCAGTGAGACCCTCCTGGATCCCCCGGCAGACCCAGGGCGAAGCTCGGGAGGAGCCTTAAAGCCCCTGGGAGCTGGGAGGAGAGCCGCGCGTTTTCCCCGGCTCGCTTCCCACCCGCATCCTCCTCCTGTAATCCCGGGCGCCCTCCAGCTCTTGCCAGGCTGGGGCTCTGGGCCTTGCAGACACGGTGCCACATCCCCGGTGGGATTTCTCCTTGGCTTTCGGGCACATTTGGGAAGGAGTGGTGCTGCTCGTCGCTGGAGCACCGGCGCTGGGGGTAGCAGGGCAGGAGGGGAAGGAAGGCTCAGTTAGGGCAAGTTAATTCCTGGAGCGCTGGAAATGTTTTCCGGGTAATCTATGTTTTCCGGGTAATCTAGGACTGCACCTGCAAATTCAGGACCTTCCAAAATGTTGGGTGTAAGGTGACCGATGGTGGGTCTGTTTGGATGAACCCCGGTCTTGGAGCAGTGCCCAGGTGAAAGCCTCAGTTTGCATCTCTGTCCTGCTTTGGCATCACAGGCAATTCCCCATCCCAGCCTTGTGGCTACAGGAGGCACCCAGGCTGGGATTTTCCCAAATGGATGAGGYGGGTGGAACTCCTGAGCACTCCTCCGGTGTCCCGGGGTTGTTCCAAATGAGCAACAGAATCACGCTGCACGGGGGCTTTTCTGACGTTGGTTTTCTTTCCTTCTGCATCCATCCCCTGGCCTCTGGAAATGAGCTCCACGAGGCCGGGGGTCTTGGAATGTCCTCGTGGAACAGCCCCGTGCCAGCGGCTGCCATCGGGGGGGACGCGGAGGCGGATTCGCAGGTCCGTGTGCTCCTGCCGGCCGTGGGAGCTGCCTCCCCTCCGACCCCGTGCCAATGGAGCAGCCTCTGCTCCCGACTCGGGCACTGCCGCGTCGCGCTGCGGCCCTGCGGCATTTCCGGGGTGGAAAACTGATGCTTGTGGAAAATGGAGAGCCGGCCCCTGCATGGGGGTGCCGAGGGCTTGACCCTCTGCCGGGTTGGGGAGGCTGCTCYGGGCCCGTGGCTCCCGGGGCTCGGGTCTGTCCCTGTCCCGCAGCTTGACCCGGTTTTGCCTCCGAGGCATCGATGGAGAGATGGGAGCGCAGCCGGGCGGGCAGCGCGGAGCAGAGCGTGGGGCCGGCCCGGCCGGGGGATCTGCTGCAAGTGGAAAGGGAAGGAGGGAGAGAGGGAAGGAAGGAAGGAGGGAGGGGAGGAAGGAAAGGAAGCAAAGGAAGGAAAGGAAGCAAAGGAAGCAAAGGAAGCAAAGGAAAGAAAGGAAGGAAAGGAAGGAAATGAAGGAAGGGCATCTTTAGAGAAGTCCTTGGGCTCCGGCTCCGTGGGCAGGTGCCCAGAGCTGCATCCCAGTGAGGCTGCATGGAGGGGACACTTGTGGCACCAGGAGCGGTGCTGGCAGGTTTGGGGCCATCTCCCCACGATGTCCCAGTCCCTGCGACCAGAAGGAACCCGGCCCAGGGAGGTGACAGGGCTGGCAGGGTGTACGGGTGGCACCAGTGGCTGTGACACTTGCAGGGCCCCGGCTGCCATCGGCGGCCGCTCAGCCCGAGCCGTGGCATCTTCCCAGGCTCTGAGTAAAAACAGTTGTGGATTACTATTTTTTTTAATCTTTTGGGTTTTTTTGTTTTGTTTTGTTTTTTTAATGCACTGTGCTCTGATTAAAAAATTTTACTACTGTTTTATAAACAAATGTATAAAAGAATGAACTGGAATGGAAGAAGAATCATTAAAATATATTTATTTACAACATCCCCAAGCGTCGCCCTGCGGCTTGTGCTTGTTCTCCTTGGGGCAGAAGGAGGCGTCTGGCGTTCCCAAGCGGAGGCTCCCGGTGCTCCCAGCATTTCTCATGGCATTTCTGAGTGGAGGCTTCCAGCATTCCCAAGCAGAGGGTCCTGGCGCTCCCGAGTGGAGGCTCCCAGCAGTCTTGAGCAGAGGCTCCCGGCATACCCAAGCGGAGGCTCCCAGCATTCCCGAGCGGAGGCTCCCGGCATTTCTGAGTGGAGGCTCCAGCATTCCTGAGTGGAGGCTCCAGCATTCCTGAGTGGAGGCTCCTGGTGCTCCCGAGCGGAGGCTCCCGGCATTCTTGAGCGGAGGCTCCTGGCGCTCCCGAGCGGAGGCTCCCAGCATTCCCGAGCGGAGGCTCCGGCATTCCAGAGCGGAGGCTCCCGGTGCTCCCAAGCGGAGGCTCCCAGCGCTCCCGAGCGGAGGCTGCAGCATTCCTGAGCGGAGGCTCCTGGCGCTCCCGAGCGGAGGCTCCCAGCGCTCCTGAGCGGAGGCTCCAGCATTCCCAAGCGGAGGCTCTGGCATTCCAGAGTGGAGGCTCCTGGCGCTCCCGAGCGGAGGCTCCCGGCATTCCCGAGTGGAGGCTCCTGGCGCTCCCGAGCGGAGGCTCCCAGCATTCCCGAGCGGAGGCTCCCGGCGCTCCCGAGCGGAGGCTCCGGCGAGGGCCAGCCGTGCGGCGCTGCCGGCCGCGTGCGGAGACGCGCCGTGGCAGAAGGTGGTGCTGTCGGCATGGCTGTCCCTGCGCTGCCGCCGCACCGAGCGCCCGCTCGCTGCGGCCTCGGAAACGGGGGGAAAAAACAGGGTTTTGGGGTCCCGTGGGGTCGCAACTGCTTTGCTCCATGGAAATGTTGGCACTCTTGGAGGAGAGCATCCCTTGGAGGAGAGCATCCCATGGGAAGGAGGTGCCAACACCCAGGCAAAGTGTGAGCCCAAGTGTGTCCTGCAAAGTGCCGCAGCTGATGGTGCTAATGTGGAGCAACCTGGGCCCTTAATTAGCAATAGCTAATTAAGGTGGAGGAGAGGGGTTACTGGGAGCTGGGCTGTGTTTCTACCTGTTGCTGGTTGATGCTGTTTGACGGGTGGGTGATGAAGCCTGTGGGGAAGGTGGCTGCGCTCCCGGCCACCCTGSCACCATCTGCTCCGTGCTGCGGGTGACAGGAATCCTCTGCCAGCTGGGATGCTCCGTTGGAAGCAAGGGGGTATGGAAGCACGGAGTCCCCATGGGGTGTCAGATACAACATGAGGGGATGTGCACAAAAAAATGCAAAAAAAATTGCCCTAAAATAGACTCCCTAGGCTGGAAAACCATGGGGGCTAATTGGGACTCCAGGGCAGGGGTAKGGACAGAAAGAGTAATTTCAGCAACTTAAAAAAAAAGTAGTTTCAGCCACTTGAAAAAGTCCTGATTTGATTTATCTAGGGAGTGTGAGCACTAAATAGAGAACAACGCCTCAAGTGTGAATTATTTCCTATATTAACACCGAGAAAAACTGATAGCCTTTTCATGTCAAGAGACCGGGGGGGCGGGCGGGCGGCATTGTGCGGCGCCGGCTTCGCTCCCGCCTTATCAGGCGCAGATCAAAATTTATTCCCAGGATGAGGCCCGCGGCCCGGCTGAGGCCCTGGAGATTTTTAAGGGCCTAATTAAGAAAACAGGATGAAAATGGCGAAATAAGAGGGCAATTTACTTCTTGCAGAATAGGGAGATCAAATCAACTTATGAGCAATTAATGTGCACAAGGAGAGAATAAAGGGATGCCGGGATATGGTAGAGGGCCTCATTTTAATGACATGCTCTGGTGTTGGCATAGAGGATTACTCTGAAGGTCAGATGTAGATTGAAATGACCTTGCAGATTCTTAACCCTCCTTCCAATTAATAGAACCAACTCAGAAATGCAAAAGCCTCCGGCTTGGAGAGCTGCCGTCCCTTTATGTTCAGAAGGAGGGGAAAAGGGACATTATAAAGGCGAGCGAGGACGAAAGGGGGTTTCCTTGGCTTGGAAAACAGCTGCTGGAGACGGGAGAGAAGGGCTCTTAATTACAGAGCGCGGGCTGCCCAGAGAAGGGGAAAAAAGGAGAGGAAAAAATAGAAAGCCGAGCGTGGCGGCTCCGAGCGGGCTATAAAAGGGGAGGGCTCCTCGGCGGCGTGCCGGGCTTGCTGCTTCCCGGGATTCTGCAGCGGCCCCGCTCGCGCGCGGCTCTGCGGGATGCTCTGGGGCTGGGCTGCGGGATCCCGGCGTCGCGRCGCTGCGGGCCCTTCAGGAGCTGCCGCTCCTGTCTCATCCCGGCTCCTGTTGCCTCCAGGGGGATCCGGGAATAGCGGGAGCTTTGTTGCTCCTCGCRAGGGGCTCCCTGCACGCGACTGGGAGAGCACCACTGGAGACCGGCCCGTGCCACTCCAGGAAACGCTTCCAAAGGGCAGGAGCGAGGCTGGTCCCTGCGCGAGCGCCTGGCTCCCAATGGGCAATTTGGCCTGTTTTTACCACTGGTGGTTTTTTAAAGCTCTGGCAATAGGGACCCGCTGGGACTTGCCGCAAGCCTGGAGCCCTGGCAGGCGGCGCCCTGCGGAGCCGGGAGCCGGGAGCACCTCGCCGGGATCGGCGCCGCGCGGCAGCTGGGATCGAGGCCGGAGCGCTCCGGGGTAGGAAGCGCCAGGGCAAGCGGCTGCAGCAAAGGAAAGCAGAGCGCGGTGTGCCCAGCCAAGGGCAATCAAAGGGGCTGCATTTATCCCGGTCTGTCCAAAATTCCGGAAATCCTTTTTTTTTTTTTTTTTTTTTTCTCCTCACTATTTGGCCAGTATAGATGCTCTGGATGTGCAGACCTCCTTTTCCAGCTGCATCTCTGCACCAAGTGCTCAACCATCCCCTTTTCCCAAGGCTGCTCCAATGAGGAACCTTCCCAACACTTCCCTCCCATCCAGGAGAGCCTCCAGGCTCCYGCTGCCGACCTCCACGTCGCTCCAGCCAATGTGGGATCCTCTGGCCTCTTCCCCACATTCGTGAGCTGGTTTAATCAGCTCCTAGTTCTCATTTCATGCCTTTCTCTCCATTTTTTTTTTTTTTTGAGGGGGCAGTGAAATTTATACAATATTTAAGCAGCACAGTAGAGTCCTGGAAGATATTATTAATGTAAAAGGGACAGGCTGGAAATGCACTTGAACCTGGTTACAATTAGAGGGTGATTTTTCTAAAGGTCAATGAATTCAGATAATATCCACAGGGGGGAAAAGAAATTTAATACCTTTTTAGTGAATTAATTAATTATAATATTATATCGGCTTGGGGTTCTTTTCCAGAGTGATTAAGGGAACGATCTGTCTTCGGAGCGGCTGGGGGAGCCGGCGAGCGGGCGCGAGGCTGCTGGAGGGGAAGGGGGAGCCGAACACGCCAATAATGGAGCCTTTTCTTTCCCTTAAACTTCCCGTATTTCCAGCTGCGTGATCCCTGCCTGCCGGCTCCGGACCCTTTCATYGCGGCCTTGCCGAAAGCAGGGTTATTTGGGATTTTTCTCTCTTTTTTAAAGCTTTCTGAGGTGGGTTTGGAGGTTTTCCGGGCATCGTGGGTGCTGGGCCCAGTGCTAGCAGGGCGGCCGGACCCGGCTCTGCCACCGATGACGTGTGGGGACCGTCCCCTTCCAGCGTCCCCACGGAGCGGTGGCTTCGCGCCTCAGTTTCCCCATGCACCCAAAAACCCAGGTGGGTTCCCCAAAACCCACCTGCAGATTGATCGAAATGCCCCAGTTTTCCCCCAAAACCTTCCCCCCAGCTGTGGTCCCCACGGCCGACCCATAGGATGGGGCTCCATCCCAGTAAAACTCTAGCCCCAGCGGTTCATCCGCAGCCCCAGCCCGGACTGGAGTCTGCACTGCTGGCTCATCCAGCCCCAGAAATTAATTAGAATCTTCTACATTAAAAATTAACACAACCTTTCTGGATCTATGTTCTTCCAGCACAGGACTGGGCCAGACTCCCTCAGCTGGAGCAAAAACCTTTTATTCTTTTTTCCTTCCCTAATTCTCTGCCCTCTCAGTGTTTTTTTTAGACAGGGCCACTTGGGCTCATTAATCACAGATGCTGGGAGCGATGGGGAGTTAGAGGTGGATAATTGTGGTTTGTCCTGGTGGGAAGGAAGGTGTTTCAGGGCTTATTCGTCCCAGAGAGCTGGTGCTAAAACCCTGGTGCAGCAAGAG